ATAAAAATAAAATAATCGCTTGCGGTTTTGCTCATGAGAAAATTTTTGATAGCTTTCTTGAAATATGGTGATACTCAAGCCATTCATTTCTTGCAGGTTCTACAGTCTCTATTGGATGTAAATAGCAGCCGAACCCCAACGATAACTTCTACTCTACCGAGGACGGTGACTGCAACTCGATTTTGACCGAGTTAAATAGACTATGAAGATCTGGTATATTTATAAACGAATTTGTAACTGTTATTATGACTATATGAATGTTACCTTTATGTCGGGTGTTTTTACTGCTTCATTCCGAGAAATGTTTTATCTGAAGATGTTTTGTGAGTAAATTTCTATTGTTTGGAAAATATTTGTATAGTTTTATCGCGCTGTCCATTCCAATCTTGTCTCATTATATTTTTGGTTTATTGGTCAGAGAACATACCTAAGAACAATCAAAGAGATATCCATTGAAGTTGTAGGTGGAAACCACTTTTTCAGATTCATTTCTGAAAGTTTATAAGAAATATTAATTTTCAGTTTGAAATTAACTTTATTTTGTAAAAGAACGACTTCTATATATTATTTTTGGTTGTTTCGGAGTGGATGAGGTTAAATGAGAAAATTCTTTGAGAATTTAAGATTTTTGTACTGGAATTTATGAGAAATGTGTAGTACCTACTTTAAGCAGAGACAATTACTAAATTGTGATTATGCAGTTTTTGTCTAGATGTACAGAATGTCAAGAAATGATTTGTAAGAATTCACCACATTTCCTATTCTTTTCTAGAAAAAAACTAATCGATAAGGGCTGGTTTTTCTCTTAAAAAGAACATTTTTTCTGAGAGTACTTAATTTAGTGATTATGTTTATAGTTGTTCAGTTCACAAAAAATATTTCGTTATTCAAAAGAAATTAAATTTTATTATCATGTTTTTACAATAATGCATTAAACTCATTTATGTTGATGAGTTTTCAGCCTGCTAAAATTTTACTTTTGTTTACAATGCAGGGTGCATTATTTGGCAGATTTCAATAATTCAAAAGTTTTTAATATTATTTTTTAAATCTCTTGTTCCAATTATCTTTTGAAAAACCTGTTTTTTATCGTTAAAATAACTTTTTCGCAAGTATTCAACATTTAAAACATAATATTCATATGTTATAAAAATATTGAAATATTCTGGAACTAAGATAGGTGTACCAAATAAGGCCCACTTAATATTTGTTAGTTATTTTTTAGGTAATTAACCCATGATAGAACTCTCAAAATCAAAAAGAAGATAAATTACATATTTGAATTTAATATAAAAATGCTAACTTTTATCAAATTTGTTATAAGTTGTTATTCTCAGGTCTTTAAAAAATAGTTGCTTCTGGGCCTAATTAGGAACACTATGTTCTTTATAAGGCCCATACTATGTACCTAATAAGGCCCACTTTTGAAATACCACAATTAATCATCAAGGGTGACAGCAGGTAAACACCTTTATTTTATAATAATAATAGTTATTGCGAACAGTCTGGACATATGATAATTATGTCTTTATCATCTGCCGAAAGTCCTACACACTCTTCATGAATATATCGTTTATAGTTGTCGCAAAGTCTCATATCCTTAACAGCATCCTCTTTGCAGGCAAAACAATACCAACTTTCTTTTTTTTTTTAGTTGTTTTTTAAGAGTTTTTCCATTTGCCAGGTTTTTCCCTTTTCTTGGTTGGTTTTTAGGGCCATTTAAACTAGCTTCATCAAACAATGATTTTGTGACTTCTTGTGCTCGATAATTAAAGGATTTCTTTCTAGCACACTGTTTTTTTCTAGTTTCTAATTCTGGTGTAACTAACACTTCATTGAAACTAACTGACATTACATTGTCCTCCTCTGAGCTGTCATGTACTGAAAATTCATTGTCAGAACTGACAAAACTCTCAGAGCTATCTTCAGTTTTTTTTCCATTTCGAGTTTTTCTTTCCTTCTCTCTATCCGGACTGGAGCTGCCACTAGGAATATTTGTTGCGGATGTCGAAGATGATGGAATAGTTGAATTTTCGAATATAATTTATTTTCTGTTATTTCTGGTGGGGTAAAAGCAATGTCAGGAATGATATTCGGATTATACGGGTATATTCCTGTTGCACGAAAACCTGAAATAACATTTGATGGTGCAATTGCTTTTGGCCACACTTTTGAGAAAATCAGGCCAAACGAAAATTCATTGATAGTTCGTTCTGGTTTATTTGTCCAGTATATGATTACTTCGTCATCCCAGTAAGATTCGAAAGCTTTGAACACCGCCTTATCCAAAGGCGAAATTTCGTGGGATTCGGCTGCAACGACAATACCTGCATCCAAATGAGATGATGCTCCATCAAAAATTAGCAGTACTCTTCCTTCTGGTTTGTACTTAGCAAAATGTATCTCAATAACTGTCCCAGCAGGTAGATTGTCGTGCCATTCATTCTTCTTTCTTTTTCCTTTGAACAATATCATAGCTGGAATAACTTGTCCTATAGCATTTCCACAACTGACAATTGACACATTCTCAGCATGTTCTTGAGAAATTAAATGAACTCGTTTGACACCTTTACAAGCATATACCTGTTGTAATTTATGAATATTTAGGCGACAACCTTTCTCATCAATATTAAAAATGCGTTGAGGGCTTTGCAGGATATCAAGCTTCAACATAACTTCTCGTAGCTTTTCAAAATAGTCATTGACTATGAACTTGTTTAATTTGGCGGATCTAGCTGGATTCATGAATTGCGATTTTCTTTTAACAACTTCGGGATGCCGACCTAGAAAAAGTTTGAGCCATTTTCGACCAGCTATGTTCTTATCGGTAAAAGGTGCAGGTATTCCGTTTCGTTGGCAATATTCATGGACAGAACGCCTTATCACTGTAGATGTTAAGGGCATTCCAACATCGGCCAGCCTAAAAATTATTTCACACAACTCAGATTCTTGTTCAAGTGTTAAACATGAAGTACGGCCAAGTTTCTTTTCCGTTTTTCCACTAAGCAAATGATTTCTTATTGTTCGACGGGCAATATTGAATTCTTTGGCGGCTGTTCTTACTGACATCCCATTTTTGACTGCTTGCAAGGCCAAAGCCATTTGTTCTTCAGTCCATAAACCTCTGGGCATCTTAATAATATAATCTATCAATCTCAATAATCTCTCTGAAATAAAGTTTACCAACTTACAAAACGTTTTAATGTAGTGGTCCTAACAAGGCCCTTCCGTATTATTGCAGTGTTCTTAATAAGGCCCACCCGGGCCTTATTAGCAACACTGTCAGTGGCCAATGTTTTTGGGACATTAGAATTATTTCCGTTTCAATAAACCTAAGGTAATATACTTAGTCAACGTGTTTTTTTATTTTTCCTGAAAATCATTGTACCAAAAGTTATTCAGGGTGGCTCGTTTTAAACGGAATGCACTGTATTCTACTGTGTCATGGTTTATACTAATCGATAGAGAATATTGTGCTCTATACATTGATGCTATTCATTTTTACCAAATTTTCATTTTTGTCTTTATTTTAGCTTTGTAAGATGTCGTCGAGCGATTTTCAGCCAATTTTTCTCAACGAATTCAAATTGAACAAAAGCGCTGCCAAAACAGCTCGAAAAATCAACCAGGCATTTGGAAATGATAGTGTTATGCATGCACTGTTTTTGATGATTTCAAACGTAATGGACAGATCAAAAAGCACGGAAAGAAAGAGAGTATCCTACGTTTTGAACGATCGACAGAAGTTGTTGAGGTGCGTACTGACTTGAGCAAATTTGCTCGCACGGATATCGTGTGCGCACACACGCGTGCGTGAATTATTTTGACAGCGAAAAAGTGCGCGTAAGTTGTGTGCAAAATTGTCTGTTTCGTCTAGTAGCCGCTTATTTATTTTCCGATCGCTGCGTTTTTATAGTGTTGCCAAAATGTCCAACAGCAAACAAAGTTTAATAATAGCAAGTGCAGCCTACATAGTTCTTGTATACGGAAGAAAAAGAACAAACGGGATAAGCGATGGTGGGTTAAGCAGCTGTATAAAAGCAGAGAGATGTGTGCTGGATCAACATTGTTAGAGGATTTGAAATTCCAAGAAATCAGCGGGCAGTTTCAAAATGTTGTCCGTATGTCATCACAGGATTTTGAGTTACCTAAAATAAGGAAACTGAATACGAAAATGAGAATGGCTGTTCCCGTAAAAGAGCGACTTGCCATAACTCTACGCTTTTTGGCGACGGGTGATTCATTTACAAGTATGCAGTATCTTTTTAAAGTTTCAAAACAGCTTGTATCTTCCATTGTTCCTGAAACATGCCGGGCCCTTATTGAAGTTTGGAAGAAGTATGTAAAGGTAATTAGATAATTTGTTACACATACTTAAAGGTTTTATTTAAACTAAACTAAGAATGCTGCAGCATAAAATGTGTTCAAACCAAAATGTAATTATGGCGTACAACGTTGAAAACGTCACGCAAAAGTGAATCTGAATAAGCCAAATCAATATTTACCAGTTCGGTTACGGTGGGGTTAGGGGTTGAGCCTTGGGTTGAGCAGTGGGATTGTGAAAAAGAATAAGTTGAGTAAGGAGTTGTACAGGAATAACGTGATGGGGTACCATGAAGTTTATAATTAGGCGAACACATTGTCGGAAAAGGTGTTGTAAGTTGTTGTAACATAGTATGAGGAACAAACTGGACTGGTGGAGCAACCCACTCGTATTTGCCGATATCAGCCTCATAGAGAATTCGACTGAAAGCATGTTCAACTTCGACTCGAGTCCTTCTAATGTAACCTCTCAGTTTATTTGCTATGTCCATATACTGCAAATTCATCATCTGTTACGACTGCTTGAGGTGCGGCCATTTTTGTCAAAATTTGAAAAGCTTCCTCCAATCTTGGATCTTCATTGTTACTTTTTGCTTTCCTCTTTTTCGGTTTTGGAGGCATTTCATTCACATCCTGTTCATCTTGGGGTTGCAAGTCAATTTGAGGTGTTTTGCTTCCTAAATCAGAATTTTGGGGAGAAGTATCCAGCGGTCCGCGATCTGCTTCCTCAGGATTCTGTACCTCATCAATAATAGCCTGAAAAAGTTAAAAATTGTTTAAAGTTATTCATTTCAATGTTGAATCTAAAAATAAATGACTTCTGCAGATGCCGTCATCTCCTGAAGAATGGTTATTAGTTGCAGAATAATATGAAGAGTTGTGGAACTTTCCAAATTGCTTGGGCGCCATGGATGGAAAGCATATAGCGCTACAAGCGCCAATAAACAGCGGCAGCGAATACTATAACAATAAATCACACTTTAGCATTGTGTTGTTTGCTTTAGTTGATGCAAATCACAATTTTATATTTGCTGATACAGGCTGTCAGGAGGTGGAATATATATATTTCTCGGAGATGAGGCATTTCCGTTGAGTAAGCATATTATGAAGCCATTCTCAGGAACCCATCAGATAGGATCGATGAAAAGAATATTCAATTATCGGCTTAGCCGAGAGAAAAGAATTGTAGAAAACGTCTTTGGAATCTCTTCTAGCGTATTTCGAATATTAAGAAAGCCTATGCTTTTAGAGTCCGAAAAGGTAGAACTTGTCGTAATGACTATTGTTTTGCTTCACAACTTTTTAAGAAATAAACAAACACTATCGGGCGTTGTATAATCCCGCGGGAACCTTCGATACTGACATAGGTGGCCAATTTGTACCAGACAATTGGAGAGAAACACTAAATGAAAAAATGTCATCGCTGATCCCTATTAGAACTTTGCCCCGAAAATCACCTAAAGAAGTACAAGACACTCGAAACGAATTTGCTGCATGCTTTACTAGTAATGGTCGTGTTTGTTGGCAAGATCATTATGCATAAATTCAAGTTAGGACACAGTAGTGACTCACCCTATACAAAAATCATATATAAATAATAAAATACTTACGCATTCTACCTCTGTATCAATTGTTCTTCTTGGTTCATCTTTATCAAGTAAGTAATGCATTCTTTTAAATGCATACCATTTCGATATATACACATCTTTCTGACATTCAAAACAATGCATTTATTTTTCTAAAGCACCTTAAAAAAATCAGGATATTTACTGACCTTTGCCTGTCCCACCACTTTTTTTTCCTTTTGCTTTTTCCCTCCGAAATGACCCCAGAAGACTATTCATTTTCTGTTTCGCTTCATGTTCTTCCACTTTTAAGTTATACGCAATATGTTCCCACGCATCTGCTTTTTTGTTCCTTGAGAAGTGCTCCGGATGTTAGGCATTCCATGAAATCTGATATTTCTCATATTCATCTATTAATTGGAGCGCCTTTTCATTGTCCCACTCCATATTTCATAAAAGACTGCGCGAAAAACTTTCCCTGACCAAAACACCGTCCACACTGAGCACGTGTTTCCTTCGATGTACCGACAAGAGACGGATAGTATTCGTGCGAGAACGCGCTTACGCACACAACATTTTTGAGTGGTACTGACTTCAGCAAATTTGCGCGCACAGCATTCGTGCGCGCAAATTTCAGGTCAGTACGCATATTTACGTTTCGAGGTCTCTTCTTCTTTGCTTTTGCGTAATGAAAACCATCATTTTTTTAATCGGATCATCACGTGTGATGGAAAGAGGATTTTTTACGACAACAGGAGACGCCCTAGCACACACTTTGTATGCTAGGGCGTAACACTTTGTGTTACGTTGACAGAAGTGAACTGATTCAACCGTCGCATATTTCTATCAAGTTGAATAAGTATTCACCTAGATATTACAGTTGAAAGTAGACTTTTAAAAACGGACACAACTGTTGAATCAACCTAATACAAACAATGAGTCTGATGCTCTTCTCTTCCATCATTAACGTAAATCGCCAGAGTTTTCAGCGCTGGATGGGATGAATATTCTTTGGAATTCGAAACTCTTCTCTTTTATTTCTTTAATTTCAGAGCGAATGCATAATGGGGTTATCTGATATAAATCGATGTTTTCTGGGAAAATTGCCAACATTAATTTTTTTTGAAAATGTCTATTCCATTTGATCTATCATTGATAATTAGATATTACAAAATAAATAATTAGTTACGGTGAAGTTTATGCTATCAAATTATTAAATTTTTCTCGCATTCTTTTCTATCGTACTGATTTGGGATTCTCGCCAATCAATGAGATAATAATACCTAAAAATAAGCATCATATCAGAAGACCTTGTCCTATCGATTTTGTATGTTTGACTGGTATTTTTAAGTTGCGATCAAGTGCAAATGGCAACCTACTAACAAGTTTTTATTGCCTAACTCTCGTTCTATAATTACAACAATGAAAAATGTCCAAAGCTGAATGGATGTGTTTCAGAAGGTCGTCTGGCGTAAATTACTAATAATAAGAAATTAATAAGCAATAAAATTTCGAGTGTCGAGAATTAGCTGTAGCCCAAGAGGAATTTGTGAATAAATTAAAATTCAAATATGTCACGTTTCAATAAAATAATTTTTATATAATACCTTCAGTCGCCTCAACTTCTCAACAACAGTAAGTGCACTGAAAGTAGCCAGTTAAGTAGTATATTGATCCAATGACTTATTTCTGAAAAAGTTGGCTGCAAAGAGCATGAATTATTCCTAGAAAAACAATTGTTTTCTTGCCAAAGTATCGAATTTATTTAAATTATTTTTCAAGAATCTGTAACAATGAGTTATTCTGACATACCAACCACAATACATATCATTTCATATCTTAATATCCATGGTCATTCAAAGGCTTCATAATTAATGATAAATTATAAAATTAAATTACTCACCGAAAAAATTAGAAATATNCCGGTATATTTGTGAAAAAAGAATTTTTATATATTTTTTTTCTTCCTTCCTTAGGAAGTTTCACAGTTGTTTGTTTAATGAAAGAGAAGTATGAAGTCAAAAAATATTTCAACAGAAAAACAAAATCCTTCATTATATCAATTAAACAGAAACTAATTTGTTTTCAAATTATGAATGGACTGACCCATCACTTGATGAAAATTATTAACACTATCCATGAAAATGATTACACAATTTTCACGAATATTTTAATTTCTAGGCGCGTTTCGCGTAGAAATTTTCTGCCAAGGAAGTAACTTGTTAGCGAAACGCGTCTAGAAAT